AGAGAGAGAGAGAGAGACCCTCCAGAGGTTCTTTAAAAAAGCAGGCGCCGGGAGAACCCCTCACCCCAGCACCATACGCCAGCCTCGCAGTGCGCCCCGCCCCCAAGCGCAGGTCAGAGAGAGAGCCCCGGCCCTGAGATGGTCACCGCCGTCTCTTTCCCCCTGGGCAACCCCCACGACCCTCCTCCCAGCCTCTGCCCGACTGGCCCTCTGGCTGTCCTCTCGCCGCCCTCCTGCCCGGGGAGGCGGGCAGAGCAGGACTCTGTGCCCGCGTGGAGCAGGCGCGGAGAGCGTGTGTCAACTGCCCGGTTAGGCCTGGGAGCGGCTGCTGGAGGCTGGCCGGCGCTGGCAGTGTGTTTATGCGGCCGGTCCAGCTGCTCCCGCCTGGACATCTGGCCGCCCCCTGGGGAGTCACGGGGCAGGGCCGTGTCTGCCGGGGTGACCTGCCCCCGCCCGGCCCCTGGTGGCCTCCATGGAGCCCCCTCCCAGCTCTGGGTCCCAGGGCTCCTTCCCCTCCCGGTGACTCAGCTTCCGCCCACCCCGGGCTCTGTGGCCGGGTTCTTCCCAAGGTCACTGTCTGCTCCCACCGGGACTCACAGTTCGCGCCCGCAGGCCAGCTGGAGGTGATCCTGGACCGGCGGCTGATGCAGGACGACAACCGCGGCCTGGGCCAGGGGCTCAAGGACAACAAGAGGACCCGCAACCACTTCCGCCTCCTCCTGGAGCGGCGCACGCTGGGCAGCGAGGTAGGGTCGGGCCTCCCTCCCGGGGTGGCCCTGGGGTGCAGCGAGGGCTCGGGGAGCACAGCTAGAGCTGGACAGGGATGGCGAGAGGACGGCCTGGTGCCTGGGTCAGGGGGGTCAGTCTCACGCCCTGAAGCTCCACCTCATGCAGCCTGGCACCCCCTCCCCCTGCACCCCGTCTCCAGTGCCCTGTGCTCACCTCCCGCCTCCCTCTCTGCACCTCCCCCAACCCTTTCCCTCGGCCCCTTGGTTCCCCAGCCCTCCCTCCGGCAGCCCCTCTCACCTCATGGCTTTTTTAAAAAACATTTACATTTTGCCCTAACCGGTTTGGCTCAGCGGATAGAGCAGTGATGGCGAACCTATGACACGTGTGTCAGAGGTGACACGCGAACTCATTTTTTTGGTTGATTTTTCTTTGTTAAATGGCATTTAAATATATAAAATAAATATCAAAAATATAAGTCTTTGTTTTACTATGGTTGCAAAGATCAAAAAATTTCTATATGTGACACGGCACCAGAGTTAAGTTAGGGCTTTTCAAAATGCTGACACGCCGAGCTCAAAAGGTTCGCCATCACTGGGATAGAGCGTCGGCCTGTGGACTGAAGGGTCCCGGGTTCGATTCGGTCAAGGGCATGTACCTTGGTTGCGGGCACATCCCCAGTAGGGAGTGTGCAGGAGGCAGCTGATGGATGTTTCTCTCTCATCGATGTTTCTAACTCTCTATCCCTCTCTCTTCCTCTCTGTAAAAAATCAATAAAATATATATATTTAAAAAATAATAATAAAAAAAACATTTAAATTTTAATACCTTTTTAAAAAAATATTTTTTTATTGACTTCAGAGAGGGAGGGAGGGAGAAGGAGAGAGGGATAGAAACATCAATGATGAGGGAGAATCATTGATCAGCTGCCTCCTGCACGCCCCCCACTAGGGATCCAGCCACCAGCCGGGGCATGTGCCCTGATTGAGAATCGAACCCATGACCTCCTGGTTCATAGGTCCGCACTCAACCACTGAGCCACACCGGCCGGGCCTGGCTTTCTCTCCAAACTGGCACCATATTTAGGGCCTCGGTCTGTTAGCAGCAGGAGCGTAACCGAGAGACAAGGGCCGGCAGTGGGTGCTGAGCTAGTGTCCCTTAGCAAGTTGTGGCTGGAGTTGGAGCGGTGGCAGCCTGCCCCTCCGTCCGCCGTGTCTGTGCCTCAAATAGAGCCCGAGCTCTCAAGATACTGACTCTGCTCTCTGGGAATTTATTCGTGGTATGCGTGGGGGATAAGCCATGTGTGTAGAAGGATCAGGTACAAGACGGTGTGTCCACTGGTTCTGAGGAGCCAGAGAACGCTGTGGTCCGAGGGGGTCAAGGACAGCATCCTGGAGGAGGGGCCACCCAGGCCCGGCTCTGATGCATGAGGGTCTGATCTCCACCCACGGCCCAAGGCCCAGCGGGAAAGACCCATCTGAATGGGGAGGAGCAGT